TGAAGGGTTATTTCTATTTTAAATTAACAAAATTTGTTATATGATAATTTGAATGTCGCAAGAGCACAAGTTAACACTCAAATAAAAGTTTTAAAATTTTATTTAAAAGCTTGCAAAAATGGAATTTGAAAAATTAATCACAATTTAAGTTCTTGTTATCAAATTTTTAGAAGTCAAAATCAAAAAAAAAAACGAATTAAATTTTTTAATGATGTTAGCTATATCAATCTGTCTATTAATAATATTAGCAGATATCAATCTAATCTGTCTGTTAATAATGTTAGCTATATCAATCTATCTTGTTAATCCAATTTGTTTGAATCGATAATTGAATTGATGAATGCGAAAAAATTGAACTTTAACCTTTTTAAAACAAAGATGCCAACGTTAATATAATCCTTCATCATTGACATTTTGTAAAAAGTTGCACAATGAGATAAAAAGATGCGCATATGTGCAATGACAAAAGAGCTGAAAATATTTGAACTGAAGGATCCATATTATGAAATAAGTATTTATGACAAAAAAAAGCCTATTATGAAGTAGGTAATAATTAAGAAAAATAAAATTTGAATTTAAAATCGATTAATTGAATAGATAATTCAAGTATCGTTCGTTAATCATTTAAAAATGTAACAAATGATGGCGGGATTATTTTTCATTTTCTGAAAATTTTCCATCATATTTTTTACATAAGAAATTTTTTATCTTTTTTATCGATCAAGATTCAATGAATGATAAGATTATGATAAAATTGATACATTAATCATAATTATTAATAATTCATTAAATTTATCCATCGATTTGTTGCTATTTATTGATAATAATCATAATAAATATTGGCAACAAATTGGTTGAACTGTTAAGATATCAGTGGGTTGATTGTTCGTGTGATGAAAATGAAAAGTAAAAAGAATTTTGGGAAACAATTTTCTCAAATTTAGAAATTTTTTTCGGAAAACAAAAAAAACAAAAAACAAATAATGTATTTTTGAAATTTTTTAAAAAAAATTTAAAAATTTCAAACTTTAAAACTATTGATAACATGAAGATAATCACAAAAAAAATTTTGGCAGATAAATTTTACGATTATAAAATTCTAAAAATTTTAGATTCTATGATAAAATAGTGGAAAATAGAACTGAAAATTAATGATCTTTCAATAAAAATCTAATTTTTTTTTTGACCATTTTTTCTTTTTATTTTTTTTTTTATTTTTTCATGAAATAAATGTTGAAAATTTCATTTGGAAATTTCATTTCTTTTCAATGCGAAATAATTTATTGTAACAATTAACAAATCTTTTAGCAAATGAAAAAAGAAAAGAAAAGATTGTTAGCAGAAGAAGATGACAGAATTGTTAGGAACAGCTGTTAAACAATGAATTAGGAAAAAAAAAATTTAAAACAAAAAAAATAAAAAAATTAAAGTATGAAATTCTTTTCTAACAAGTAACCAGAAAAAATTATTGAAACATGAAATGAATTAGCATCGATGAAGTGCAACTGAAAAGTACAAGAGAATTTTCAAAAATTTGCTTTATTCTTTCTTATTCACTAAAAAAAAAAAATTTAATGCTATACAACCATTTGTTACTTATTAATTATTAATTATCAAAGTGTAAATCAATTTTAATTAATGATTAATTCCCATGCAAGTATTTTATTACATTGTAAATTTCGTATGAGTAAAATTTTAAAAAAATTGAGCATTTAGTATCAGTAAGTTTTTATTTTTTGGTAAAAAAATTTTTCGCATGTTTAGCAAAATTTAAATGAAATTTTAAAAAATCATAATGATTTTGAAGATTTTTAGAGCTAAAAAAAATTTCAAACTTCACATAATTTTTGAAATTACGGCTTAAAGTGATGTTGAAAATTGCAAAATTGTAGAAATTGGAAAAGAATTGATTGAAAGATATATTTCCTTTTTTTTTAAAAAAAAAAGAAAGATAAGTTTTTGTTTTTTTTTTTCAAGTAAAATTCATAATATCATTTATCAAAAACATTCCGATTTATCACTTTTTATCACTGAATTTAAATTATTTATTAAAACCTTTTTTTTAATTTTTTTTTTGAATTAGAAATTTTATATTGTAATTTAGATAAAAAAAAAAAAAAGACAGCACTTTGCTTACAAGTACGATAGAATAAAAATACTTCACGAATGAATTTTTACTGCATTTTGTAAACAAACAAACGGCTTAAAAAAGGCAATGAATGGTGACATACAAAGAGACACATACATACATACGTACATACATACATACATACATACGTACATACACATACACACACACATATACATACACAAACATAAATGTTTACATACAAATAATATTATAGCCGATAATTAATGACATAGTAAGATAAGAAGATGCTCGAAAAATATTTTCTCTTTGGCCGATCCGCTTGTAATTATTATGATAATTAAGATAATTAACGATACAATCTTATCTTTCATTGATTGTTTAAAATTTTTTTTCCAATTTTTTCATTTAAATATTTGCATTCTTTCAAAATGATTGTCACACATGACAAGTGTTCAACTATTACTCTCAGATTTTCATTTCTTGCCCTTTTTCCTTTTTTTTTTCTCTCTCTCTCTTTAAAAATCCCATATTTTTCAGAAATATTTCCTGAAAATCAAATATCTTAGCGCTTTTTAGCTTCTATCTAAATAAGCATTATTGGAAAATGGAAGATAAGTGTCATCAATTTTCTAAATGTGAGCAAGTGCAATGTCACCTTAGTCTGGCATATTTAAATTCAGTATGACAATGAGTGACACAATGATGACATTTTCTCCGTTCTAACAATTGTTATATATAACAAATTGTATGAAAATGGTTACTGATTTTGATGAGAAAATAATGATAATATCCAAATTTGAAGAGTTATCATACCTTGTTGTAAGGTTATGAAAGGGACAGATGACAAAATGATGTCTCAAGAACTCTTTCATGATAGATACCAGTAAGCACCGCTAGCCATAAATTGCCCATAAGCGTAGCATGTAGTAGTGAAAGTTGGTTCCCCTGCGGTGCGCATACACATTTATTAATGTCAATGGCTAAAACACCAATGCATTCCGTCATCGTTATTGTGGGATGGTACCGGTTGTAACTAACTATTATCAAGCATGTTGTCACCATGTTGTCACCCGCATTCCCTAAGGGCAGATAACCAGTAGTACTATATCCTTTCCCATATAATTTATCAACTTAAATCCAGTTTTTTGAAAAAATTTCTTTTCGTTAAGATGATGCAAAGATGATGTAAATAAACTGAAGAAAATAGATTACTTCAATAAGAAATCAATTCTGAGCTATGAAGTATTTTGAATTTGATTAATATGCAAAACAAGGAATATAGTAATATTTCCACAAATAAATTAACTCTAACATGGGTTAAAGGTCATTAAAGAGTTATTACAATGTGACATTCTAACAACATGATAACTATTTGGGTCGATATTGTTTTTCGTATGATATAGCGATATTAGAATACAACATAATGAAACGATAACTGTCCATGGATTTCTAGGATTCATTAAAAATGTAAAGACGCAAAGATATATGACGCAGAAATGAAGACGCAAAGATATATGACGCAGAAATGAAGACGCAAAGATATATGACGCAGAAATGAAGACGCAAAGATATATGACGCAGAAATGAAGACGCAAAGATATATGACGCAGAAAATGAAAACGCAAATAGGGATGAATTTACCGATATGTTGAAATATTTGCATATTATATCACTTAAAGTTGTGCAAATCAATAAAAGCAATAGTACAAATTGTG